GTGTGTGTGTGTGTGTGTGTGTGTGTGTGTGTGTGTGTGTGTGTGTGAGTGAGAGAGAGTGAGAGTGAAATAGCTACAATAACCTTCCTAGCGGCCAACATGTAGGATATTTTTTTTACAGCTTAGACAAAGTCCAGTAGGCCAGGTCACACTAGAGGCCCTGCTCCTTCACAATAAAAGCACATTTTAGAGGCAGTGACAATCCAGCAGAGCAACAGGCTGTAACACACTAATGATTAGTGAGATAACATTCTGTCACAAAATCATTACAATCAATACACAATGCTGAGAAAAATATGTTTACAACAGCAAGATAATGTGTTCTTGAACTTGAGGTACATCTGTCCCTCTGCTGCTGGTGAAGGAGGTGCATTGTCTTCAGTTGTCTACAGTCATTACGTCATCATTTCATCTTATCAGACATTTGTGTACAATTGTCATAATTAGATTGATTGATTGATTGATTGATTGATTGATATATATATATATATAGGAACTTATGGGTACTTTTGGAAGTTAATGAAATAAAGAATCCAACATGTTACCAAAGGGGAAATAACTTAAAAAAGATTTAAAAAAAACACACAAAACATCAGTAGATTTGTCCGTCTTTAGGGACAAGTAACAACTAGACAGATTACTAACTTTGATGCACTCTGATATTTCTGAAAGACATGAACGTGTGTTACAACTCATGAAGTCATAGCTGTCAGAACATTTTCATAGGACTCTTTTCAAGAACGCAAAAAAACCCAATCTCACTGGAATCCACCAGTTAACACGAACCAATTACCAGTTATGTCTAACATGTGTGTTTTTACCAGTTGTAGGCTTTAAGGAGAACTCCGGGCCAGAACAGGAAGGAGGTGATGAAGGCGAGGACCGGGAAAACCACAATACCTCCCGATAGTATAATCAGCTCCATCGTTGCACACGCCTTTCAAAATAAAACACACAGACAGACATTGTCATTTGCTCTCAGCTCAGCTTCTGAATTGTCGATGCTGACCCGGCGTCCCATCAGCCTCTTCTGCTACTGATACATCAGACCAGTGTGGTGGCAAGAGTCCAGTGAAACCAGTAAGTGATTCATCACTTTTGAGTCGGGGCTCTCGCTGAACATTGATGTGTCAGATAACAATACAAATAAAAACATTAAATAGAATACTTGGACACTTGGCGAATATCATTTTCATCTCCGTGCAGAAATAGCACTGTGATTTGCTTTTAGCTTAGCTTAGCACAAAGACTGATTCACAAGGAACATGTACAGAGGTCTCCTGGGTGAAAGTCCTGTGTTTGTTTCACCTTCCCATCCACCCTGAACCTCCTCACGACGCCCACGTTCTCTATACTTGCTCGGAGTGTCTAATGCTGCTCGTGAAATCTGAGAAAGTAACCTCATGAGTGGGCTACTTTATGGCTACAGTTCACATGATTCACAATTTTCAAAAATACTGCAGATATGAACTGATAAAAATATAGTTTTGTGAAATGATGGTTTGATTTAAACATTTTTTTTCCATTTTTGATATTATACTTCTTTTAGTAAATTGTTTTTAAAAATGATGATGGTCAATTTATCTATGTGACCAAGTACTTCACTTCTATACAATAAAAACTATAAACATATATGTAAACAACTTGTGGTGGGAATGTTTTGCCAAATTGCTTAATTTCCAAAGTCAAACCTGACCTTTGATTCTTTAAGCCAACACAGACACAGAAACTCGATCCACTGATGAATACAATGTGACGCGGTGGAAAGTTCCGGAAAGAAAGTGGACCTTGACTTGCCCTTGTTTTGTAAAAAAAGTTATATAAAAATCTATTAGTGTCGAAATCAACGTGAGTCGTCAGTTGTGTAAAATTAGAGAAGCGGAAAACGGAACTTCACTTTAACCGGATCACCGCTGGTTTCCTGTCAGTCTCATAAGAAACGCTTAATTTCAAACTGAAGGTGCAACAGTAGAGAGGGAACTTAACTCAGATAAAAACATATCATTTCAGACACACGGTGCATCCTGGTTATGAGTCTCTAAGTGTCCTTTGAAAGCATCGCATCTCAAACACGATCACATCACGCACACTGTCGGTTATATTATTAACATACTGACTGAGTGACACAGTTTGGGTGCTGAACCGGATACATATCCATTTGAATTACAACATACTTATTAAAATCACCTGCACGGAAGTAAGTCTGTATCTGTCGGACTCCTCTTCGATCTGTCACTGCAAGCTGTCCTCCGTTCGGTTCGGTTCGGTTCGGTCCGGTCGGCTGCTGCCCCTCCTCCTCCTCCTCTTTCAGCCGGATTACACAACAGCCTTTCATCTGCACTTAAAGGGAAAGACACCAAGAGGACCGTGATGCGTTCAGGCGCTGTGAGAAATATCACAATCGTATGTAACAACGCATTCTATGAAAGTCCATTTACGCCAGCAAACAAATAAAAATGACAAAAAACATAAAAAGATGAAAAATTAGAATTGATAATAAAAAGATCCCCATGGTAAATCGAAATTATGAGATAGAAAGTTATGAGATAAAAAGTCATAATTATAAGATACTTAAGTTACCCTACATTTGACATATAAATGTATCGTGAGTACATTGAAGACTACTTTAAACGTGTCTTTACAACAAATGAAATACTTCACTTGCTTGCTGCACCCTTGAAAGGATGTTAAGCAAGAAGCAGCTCTGGTGTAGAATAAAACCGATGTGGCTGAGGGGGCACCCTTCATTGAACAGCAACTGGAAGCATCTGGTCAGTGTCATGGTTACAGATGGATGCACCAAAAGTGCCATGGGGATGTTTGTTTTTTTTTGCTGGCGAAAGTGGGCTTCCATACAGCAAACAGCTGCTAACGGAAAATTATTACACATTCAGCAATAATTTGCTGCATTTCACATTGTCAAATATATAGACAGGAGTGTTTGTGTGTATAACATATCAATCATGTATGTACCTCTTTATTTGTATAGTACTTTTAATACAAATGTTTGTAGTGCTTCACACAATGAAATGTATTAAGCCTGTAATGTGTGTGTGTTAAATATATGTGTGACCTCCGTACATTCTTGTCACATTGTGCCATATTGTGAATTGAATTAAGAATAAATATAGGAGGAGAGGAAAATAATTGAGGATATACAAACTGGGAAATGAGAAAGGCCTCTGGGCAAGTGTTGTTCGGTGGAGTCTCAAATGTTGACTTGAAAGCTTTAAAAGTTTCAGTATTGGTCAAGGTGTGCAAAAATTATTCAAAACACTATACTACACCAAATTAAAGACTCTCACCTCGGTGTACACTACACCATCATTATATAACTAACTAACTTTCATCATTGCTTCATCCAGTTCACATTACGCGACCTTGTGAATTGAATTAATAGTTAATATATATATTGTGATGAACTCTTTTGTTAAACACCTCAGTGTTAAACACACTGCTCTCTCCTTGTCCTTCTCTGCCACATCTCCAGTGGGCGTGACTGAAAAGCGAGGAAAGGAGGCTAGGAAAGAAAGGGAGGAGACACCTTAGTATAATAAATACCACCCCATAGTCACCTCGAGTGACACGGATGTCTCTTTAGATTTGTGCTTTAGGTTGAACTAACAGGTATTCAGTCTGTTAACAGCATGGCCAATCTGCTCTCAGTGAGATGTGTTGCCTCTCTGAGGAAATCTGGAATTAACTTAAGAACTGCTGCTCTGGGCATCACTAAGCGAAACTACAGCAGCCAAAAGGGGTCTTCAACCGAGTATGTGAGCCAAAGTGATGCACCATTGAGGCATCACCAGAAGAGTTTACCCAGGTAAGGATTTTATTTCACATGTCTCTAACACAGTGACTGTCACAGTGGGGTCCGTGGCTCTCTGCCTGAAATTATTTTGCCATGAATTATAAAATTGTTCTGTATCATGAAAAAGTGCATATCTACAAATGGGAAGCATTTGTGCCAATACAACAAGCCTCTTGTGTCCTACTTTAAACGGTGTGCTGTTGGAAAAGTACAAGCATACCACTCCAGGGATAGGTACTGTTCCACTGCTGCAGGACATCCCGCTAAACAACAGTAGGATACCACTATAGGGATATGTACATACTGCTGAACAGCATGCCACTGTTAGGATAGGTACTACCGCTGAACAACAGAAGGATACCACTATAGGGATATGTACATACTGCTGAACAGCATACCACTCTTAGGATAGGTACTACCGCTGAACAACATACGTAGCATACCATCGGCCACTTTCGGCCAAAGTAAATTACGATAGCTTCACCGTAAAAACAACAGTACATTACCGTTATTTTACGGTGACATTTTAGAGTGTATTTATCCCGGATGATGCTATTGAGATTTTTAAATCACTGTTCAAAATGACAGTGAACACAAAAAACAGACTTAAAAGCAAAACAGCAAAAAGTTACCAACATAAAAACATGAACATTTCACATAAAAGAGACAACAGATTTCAAACAAAATAGCTTATTGAATCAATAAAATAATTTTCATTGTCACATTGCAAATTTCTTCACTGTTGGACTATTAAAGGATTCTGTCATTTTATTTTAATTTTTGAATTGTTTAGGTTACCCATACCAAAACTGGAGGATACTGTCAGGAGGTATTTAGCTGCCCAGAGGCCTCTGTTGGATGATGATCAGTTCAGGTACGTTTTTAAAAAGAGAATCAACCTTTATGATGCAATAATTTCACTTCAATACTAATTACTGAATCTTATCTGAAACAATCTAAACTGTGTCCTTAGAATAACAGAGAAAATTGCACAGGATTTCCAGAACGGTGCTGGGAAACAGCTGCAAGAGGAACTGGTAGCTCAGGACAAAAACAACACACACACAAGCTACATCTCAGGTGAGGGGTGCCGTGCTGATGCTTGACCCTGAAATTGAGCATCTCCAATGCATACATTCACTAATGAATCTGTTTGATTGATTTCTTTTCTCTCAGGACCGTGGATTGACAGGTATCTTTCTGTTCGCTACTCTGTGATGCTGACCAACCCCTTCATGATCTTCAATCCTGACCCTAAACCACAGTACAATGAGCAGATTGTGCGGGCAACCAATATGGTGTGTTCAGCATTGCGCTTTATGAAAACACTGCGAGCCGGATTACAGGAGCCAGAGGTTTTCCACCTCAACCCGACAAAGAGTGAGACAGACAGCTTCAAAGGGGTCGTCCGCTGTGCCCCGTCTTTCCTGTCTGGCCCCCTGGACACGTCTCCGTTCCTTCGCCTCTTCAACACAACTCGGATCCCCAAGCGGAGGAGAGATGAGCTCTTCACCGACGAGAAAGCGAGACATCTCCTAGTTATGAGCAAAGGCAACATGTATGTGTTTGACATTGTAGACAGGGATGGGAATTCAGTGAAGCCTGCAGAGATCCAGTCCCACTTGAAGTACATTTTGTCTGACCCAACGCCAGCGGCGGCCTCTCCTCTCGGGGTCCTGACCAGTGAGAGCAGGGACGTGTGGGCCGGACTGAGGGACAAGCTGATAGCAGCTGGAAACGCAGAGGATTTACAGATTGTTGACAGCGCCCTTTTCTGTCTCTGTCTGGACGATGAAAGCATGAGGGACCAAATCCACCTCTCCCACAACATGCTGCACGGCGACGGATGCAATCGGTGGTACGACAAGTCCTTTACTGTCATTCTGACCAAAGACGGACAGGCGGGCATCACTTTTGACCACTCCTGGGTAGACGGCTTAGCTATGCTTTGCTTTCAGAATGAGATCTTCAAAGACACAACGGAGCGGCCGCTGGTACACCCGGGCCCCACTGCTGCTGCTGCTGTGGATTCAGCCTCTGCTGTGCGCAGACTGCAGTTCAACCTGGACGACGAGCTGGAGGATGGCATCAAAAAAGTCAAGGAGAACTTTGACTCGATTGTATCGACGCTCACCATTGACGCCATGGAGTTCAAGAAAGGGGGCAAGGCACTGTTAAAGAAGAGCAAGTTGAGTCCAGATGCTGTAGTCCAGCTGGCTTTTCAAATGGGTTTCCTGAGGCAATATGGACAGACAGTAGCCGCATGTGAGAGCTGCAGCACTGCAGCGTTCAGACACGGCCGCATAGACTCCATCCGCCCGCTCACCATGCAGACACAACGATGTTCACACGCCTTTGTTTTCCAGTCAGGACAACACAGTGTGGAGCAACTACAGGCCATGCTGAGAGAATGCTCTACATATCATCGGCAGCTCATCAAAGAAGGAACTATGGGTGTGTATAAGACATTTCTACATGTATTTAATCTAATTTGGGGTTACAATTTGTGATATTTGAAAGATACAAAGAAGTCTTGCAGACATAGTTTTCGGGTCTGAAAAAATGCTTGCAGTCTTTCTACTGACACTGTAAGATATTCCTTCCCTGTTGGTAATTTTCTACTAAAATGATGACTGGATTTCATCTTATGTGAATAAAATGAGCGCTTTCTGATCTCAAAACACACACACACACACACATACTCACACATAGAAACAAACACACAAACACACACCCTTCGGTCTTCTTAACCACTTCTTTTATTTCTCTCACTAGGACAAGGTTTTGACCGTCACCTGTTTGCCCTGCGATACCTGGCCGAGTCAAAGAGCGAGGCTCTGCACAGCCTGTACACAGACCCATCTTACGCTGCCATCAACCACGCCATCCTCGAAACCAGCACCCTCACCAGTCCAGCTATGGACTTTTTTGGCTTTGCCCCGTATGCGCCTGACGGGTTTGGGCTTACCTACAGCGTTTTTGACGACTGGATCGGCTGCAATGTGTCCAGCTACCCGGCTCGCAACGTCCATGAGTTCCTGCAGTGTGTCCACAAGTCCTTAGAGGACATTTTCACTGTCCTGGAAGGAAAGACACTCAGCTAAGAAACTAGTGTTTGTCATCAAAAATGTTTGGTTTTATGAAACAGTGGTGAGTGATTAACTTCTCTGGGCTACCATGCAGGAAGTGAGATATACGAATATTTAATACACCACAAAATAAACATGAACACATACGGCTAAAACACGGGGAAATTGTTAGATAATTAAAGTAAACATTAAATTAAAAAACCAACATGGAAAAGAAGTAAAGATAGAAACTATACAAGAGTAATTAAAGACAAACTTACAAGGCAAAAAGGGATGTGATGTGACAGCAGAGCCAGCTAGTCTAGTGTATGTAAAAGGCACATACTTGTATATAACATGATCAATAATATATAAAACGATTACGTAATGATCCTCAGTGTTCGCCTGTTTGGATATTCTCCGTATGGAATCAGAAGAAGTGCTGAGTAAGTCTGACAGATCCTCTGTAAACCCACCCTGATAACACAGGGTGCTATTGAAGGCCATAAAACTGCAATCCAAATAAAATTGTCTCAGTTTGAGACTAAAAATATCCTTTTCTGTTTTTCTTTTAATGGTTCAGGAGGTGGCTGTTTGCAGTCAGCTGGGTGACGCAACTGCACAATAAAAACCACAGGAATACTTAACATTCCTGCCACACACACACACACACACACACACACACACACACACACACACACACGCACACACTTACTAAAACCTTACATCAGAGCTTTACTTCAAATTTGTTAAACATTTTGCTCCAGCTGGAAAGATAAAGTTAAAATCTCAAACTGTGTTCGTGTTTATGTTCAACCATGCATTTAACTATACCTTTCTTTTTTAATCAAATATAATTGCAACATAATTTATGACGAAACACTGTCGGCTGTTAACTGTTGAAAATAAAGATAGTTTTGCTGAGACTGTCCACAAGACATATTGGCATAACCCACTCACTGTGAAGTCAAAGTTCACGATGATGTGATGAACTTTCAACATGAGTTGGTGGAAATATAAATATTTACCGATCAAACACTCTCTCCAAAAAGATGACAGACAACAGGGAGTTCAATCAGAAGTGACTTTAATTCTATCAGGTGTCAAATCATGATCAGCAGAAAAATCTCTTTAACACCATCACTTCTGATTTAAAACAGTACAATCTGATTTATGTCATTCACTATTCACTGTGGAACTCAGTAATTAGTTTTGTAGGTTTGTGTTTTATCCCACAATGTAATGTAAAAAAGAACTAAACAAGTGATGGTCACCTTCAAATCACCAAATACCATCTGTGTCAACGACTGACAACAGCACCGAGTTTAGTATTTAACTGGGAATTCCTTATTGTGAACTGTGAATGACGACAGTTTTGAACACAGCATCAAACTTTTTCATTTTAAACACGAGCTATAACAGTTTTTCATACCAGCCGCTAAACAAGGTCCTGCTTCTGGTCTGTTCACAAAAACTTAATATCCTTCACAGAGCAGATCCTTGTTTGTCATTTTACCCAGACAAAGATAAATATCTCATCTCGTTGTGTTCGTATCAAACTATTATTTTATAGTTGACTGAGCTAAGCTAGGCTAGCCGTTTCACCCTCGCTTACAGTTTTTGTGCTAAACACGTCAGGCTTCTCACACACTGTTCGTATATCTATACCTATGAAAAGGAATGCACTATAATTATTATATAACACAAGTAATCACTTTGTGTGTAATCCAAGTATTTGTGAACCAGGAAGTATAAAGAGCGACAAAGTCCGCGAAGGGAAGAGCCCAAGGTGGATGGGTGTGTCAGAAACACACCGCTTTTGTCCACAGGGGGCGCCAAAATCAATACAAAGTTTAACTTCCTTGAAGTGACTTTAACGCCACTTTTGTATATATTTTAAATCACAATGTTTTCCTAAACATAACCAAGTAGTATTTTTTCCCACTTATCGCTCAGGTTGCTGGACATTCGTAAGAAAATGCACAAAAAACAACAAAATATGTTTTTTGTAAGATATCATACGAACCTTTGTATGAAGATTTATTGCACACTGATAAACACAGATGGAACTAGTATTCATAGTCAATTTGAGATTGCTATATACGACATATTTTCCGTCACAGATAACATTGTATTGAACAGTATTGTCTGTTTGCTACATATTTAAGCTGATCACTTCAAACAATATTGCGAGCTTAATTGTCAACAGTTAGCGTTTTCTAGCAGCAATCAATTAAAAAAGCAATCGAAAGACAATAAAAACACACAAGCACATTGCCTGATGTTATGCTGATGTTATGGAACAAAAGTAAAGCTAATTAGCTTCCGTCTCTCCCAGATGTTTATTTCTGGCTACCTTGATTTAAGAGACTTCATCACATTGCAAAAATACTAACTTTGCAGCATCGAAAACTTTGTGTACCTCACAGTACTATCTATTATACAAGATGAATCACCTTTGGTAAGTGTTAACGAACTACAAAACGTTACACACAATTTAGCATTCAGAAGATTATTCAGATTAATGTTCATGAAAGAGGTTAAATGCAAAATGTATCCGCAGTTTGACTGAAGAAAATGAAGAAAATTACATATTATAAGCAAAAATCCTTACTTTCTAATTGTAAAAATACATGACACAACTTTGATGAGTATTAAAAGGCAGGGGGTCAAAATCTACTCTAGTTTAAACAATACAAAAATAAATCCAGCAGTACTATTCATTTCTAATTAGTTTTATGCCTTTTCCAGCCTTCTTCCTGTCCAGTTCTCCAAGTTCTAAATCAAACAATTCGATTTTTTCTGTCTGAAATAAAAATGAATCACAAATCTGCACATATTCAAACTAAAACCCAAAACATAAGTTGATCTCTATTGAAAATATGTTGAAATATTCTCACTGCACTTCCACACATTAAAGGCAGAAATTGCAATATGTTTGCAGTGTGCTTCTTTAACATACCATCTATGTCAATATGAAGCAGAACTTTCAGGGTAAAATCGAGTTTTCTTGACCTTTTCTGGTCCTTGAAACTGTTATAAAGTACAAATATCCCCGCAGTTCAACTGTCGTCAAGTACTGTGAATTATAATGTATGCTGTTTTTAAAAGCAAGAAGAGAGATCCACATACATTATACAGTATTTCATTCCCAACCTGGGATTATCCTAAAAGATTAGTTACATTGTGCAGGATGAAATACATCCTGTGAAATAAATAAAATCTAAATATTGAGCTTGGAAGTTAATTTATGACCTCAGCAGGTGAAGTTTCCTAATTTGTCATGGATCAGTCAATGACCATGATGTAGATGTTCAAACTTTTCCTGCTGATGAAGACGGTGTGATGTGATCAAAAGCTCCCAAGATAGTAAGTGAACCTTGAGTTGTGTCTGTTTTCTCAAACTGTTAAAAGAAAAGAACTTTCAAGCTCAACTTCTGAGCCAACAGGGGAAATAAAATCCTCAAAAAAAACTTTGAACATCCACAGCGCCATGAAAATCTGCTGATGAAGATGTGTGATGTGGTTGAGACTGCTGGAACCAGCTTGGACCTTTTATGTTTATTCATTTCTTTCTCATCTTATTTTAATTTACTCATTTGTTTCCTAAACTGTCTGCTGCTCGGTCCTTTAAGCTGCTGTTCGTATCTGAGACCAGCACATCTGGGTCCGGTCACTGTCAACAATGTAAGTGCCAATAAATCCACCAAATGTTTGTTTCAGTACTTTAAACACTTTTGAGTCCACTTAACATTTGCTTGAGTACCTCAAACACCAGTAGGCTCAACTGAACAAGTCTTTAAATACTTCAACGTCTGCTGGATGTCTTAAGTATTATAAACATCCATATATCAACTGGACTTGTAGGATGCCGTATTTTAAATAGTAAATGTCAAATAAACATCAAGTTTAAAGACTTAAAGCCCCATTTGTTCGGTATTACTTATCTCTTACTTATTTCTTTTTCTGTGTTTACCAGACGTTAAAGAGGGCCAGAACATAAAGGAGGGGATGAAGACCAGAATACCTCCTGATAGCATCATCAGCTCCATCACCGCACACACAAATTTAAAGATTTAAAACTCTACTTTTATTTATTTAAAACAAGCAAACCAACTACACTCGACACTACAGTTTTTTTGTTGCCTTGTCTGTAATTCAGCTTTTTCAGCAGTGCTAAAACTTTTAAAAACTGACCACCATATTGTGTCTCAGTGCTGACAGGGCGTATCCAGGTTTTGCCCGCACTTCCAGCAGCAGTAGTGATGCCGATGCCACGTCCGGCCATCTTTTGCCGTGTGGAAAGACTGACAGAAGATCAACTGAGGGAGGAGAAGGGGAGAGGAGATAATTAAACAGTGATAATCAAACATAGTTGTTTAACTGATAATGTTTGTAGGTGGGGCAGCTTTATGGCATGTGGTTTTTCATTGGTTGAATCCATCTCCATCTATTCTAATTACCCTGCGACTTGTATACAGACTGTATATTTAAAGTCTACAGCCATGCTAGCTGCTCTGTGAAGCCGTACTCATCTTAACGTCCCTCTGTCTGATATTAATCGTCTCTACAGGAAGTCTGACGGGACGACGTCTCACCTCATCGCAGCCGGAGCATCGCGGCCAGACCGTCTGACAGTAGTGTCGTCCGCAGAACAGCTTCTGATTGGACCAGAAGTAGACCAGGTCCACCAATCCTTGGCCACACTCTGAACATTTGAAGCAGGTGGGATGCCACAGGGCGCGATGGTAACCTGCACGCTCAGCGTAAATAGCTGGACTCGCTTTGGCAACCTCACCTTGGCAACAGGTACAGCGCTAGAGCACAGAGAGAGGACAGAATAAGAAAGTGAGAGACGTTCATGAACCAAACTACTGCAACAATACAGACACACATACATACATCTGTGTGTAGGATTTAGTGGCATCTAGTGGTGAGGGTGCAGATTGCAACCAACTGAGTACCCATCGGCTTCCTTTCCAAGCGTTTTGAGAACCTACGGTGGCCTGTAGGTAATGTAGAAATGCTAAAGGATCTCTAGAACCAGTGTTTGGTTTGTCCGTTGGGCTACTGTAGAAACATGGTGATGCAACATCGCCAACACCATGAAGAGGACCCCTCCAAATGTAAATATGAATCATTGTAAGGTAAAGAAAACACGACTCTTCGTTTCAGGTGATTATACACTAATGAAAAGATGGTTATGAATACAATATTCCATATATCCCCCTAAATGCTACATCCTGGTCCTTTATGAAAACATGTAATCAGTTTATAAAATATGATCCGTTCTTACAGACTAAAGTACCAAAAATACATGAAGAATTTAAAAATACAACATTTTACATATTAATACATCGATAAAATGATCCATGTAACACTGACAGTAGTTACTTTGAATTTACATTTGATCCATAAAGTACAATTAGTTTCAAATACCTAAAGAATACCCAAGTTGATTTTTTTACTGTGCCATTGCTATGTTTACTTTCAAGTAAGTGATTTGAATACTTTTACCACCTCTGCTGTTGACTTCAGTCGGAAACCTCGGGGTCGGAAAAGTGAAGACAATGCTGGAGTGTCTTAAACGTGCATTCACTCTAACAGCCAGCAGATGGTGACTCCTCTGCTTGCAAATCTGATTCAAGTGTTCCAAAATGTGCAGTGTAGAGTTCAAGGTCTTTTTGGGGTTGACTTCAAGCTTTGCAGAATTGCTTTGCAAATATTTAACGAGACCTACAAAATAACCTGCCCAGAATAACTGTACCGAATGGAAATCCACCTGATGTTTTTCAAATCTGTCTGGTGCTTTGCTGTCAGACGCCTTATTTACTTACATATCCAGTCTTGTTATCTGTTCCGTTAGTGGAGCCAGAGGCAGAGGCAGCGCTGCTGTTGGAGGAGCCATGGTCCTGGTGCTCCAGAGCATCCTTCCTGTCACTGTCCTTGGCGTCCTTCGCTGTCCTCTGAGTGGCTGCTTCCCTCAGAGCTCCGCTCTCACCAGGCAAGGCCACCTCCCCGACTCCCAGCACCTCCAGTTTGTAGCTCTTCACAAACAGCAGCATGGAGGAAATCTACAGGAGGATATAGGAGAAGTAAGTCAAGATCAGAGTCAACTAAAGAAAACAGACTTTACATAGTGTTTAAGTTGTTTTCCAGCCATAAAAACGGATTTAAGTGATGTTAGATAGCTAACATACAGCTTAAAGTTACTATGAGGAAGTTTGACATGATTATGAAACACTCTTAATACTGAAGACTCTATATGATCTACATAAGTAAACAAGACCATCAGAGAGAAGAGAGAATATATTCTTATAGTTATTCAGAAACACTACCATCTTTGTCCATAGGGACCGCCAAAATCAACACAAGATAAAAGTTATAGTAGCTTTAAGTAGAGTACGGTACCTCCTCCTCACTGGCCAGGCTCTGGCACTTCATGGGGTCCTGATCGTAGGCAGGAAGCTGACTGAAGAGTTGCCTCCGTCGCTCCAACGCTCCATCTGTCCCCGAGACTGGACGTTGTCTCTGCGGGATGAGCTCCATGTACTGCATGGCCTGAGGGGGAATCAGGGGCATTTTACTTGTAACCTGTTATTTCTTACAGCATTAGTTGTGTTGGGATGTGATCCAACTTATTGAACTGACAAATTCACTCTTTCACATTTATCAGGCTGCAGATTCACCACGACGGGGAGCTGTTTGGTCTTTATGAGATCAGCTCCACCTGCCAACCTGCACCATACAAGAAAGATAAATAACTGCAGCAGTTTAGACCCCCAGTTTAATCAAATAAACACAGTGGAAAAAGGTAAAATATTTACTGGATATACTTTGGCACTTCCCTGACTATTCTTACCACTGTCATTTTAGCATGTTGAACACACTCTCTAAAGTAAATAAATCAGAAAACACTGATCTGAGCCTATAGACCTCGCTAACATGGCTGAATGACAAACTTCAGCATTGTTCAGGAGTCTGTGTTTCAGCTGTCATCACTCCGTCCAGGTGTTGTCAGTGACACATCTGTGTTGTCTGCAGCAGAGTAAGATGGTGACTAAGAGTAGAGCTGCGGCGTTCGTTTCAAAGCATGCAGAAGTTTTTTTAGAGGCAGATCTGCAGAGCCGTCCCAGTGTTGGATCTGGATCTGTCTCTACAAGTTCAACCGCAGTAACGTCTCCCACCACACCGCAGTGCTCAATAATCCCTGTCATCCTTATAATTATAGGTTGTGAAAACTCAAACATACTTGTTTTTAATGGAAACCAGGCGGTCTAGACTGTTCGACATGCAGAGGGGGCTGCAGAAACTAAACTAAAGTGAAATGATGAATAAAGTGGTGAAACCCAGAGGTGAGTTTTAAGGATGGGAATAAAATAGATGAAATGTTGTTGAAAATAAATCTTTTGTATAATTCTTGCCTGAGTTAGATGTTCTTTTTAAATCTAGCACCCTTGAAAAACACAGTAGGACCGATTTCAGAGGAAGCGGAAACAGTCAACATGAAGCGAGTCTGTTGCTTGAGATGTTATTGCTTTGTATATTTTTGTCAAAGTTCTATCCGGCAGAGTTATCGCATCTCAGATCTCCGCAACAACCTGCAGCTGGTGAGTAAAATGTGACTTAACGAGCTGTTGCAGACCAACAGACTGCAGCGAACAACTATCGCCTGTAGCCTACTCCGAACTGACCCTCACCAGTATCTGGTTGAGGCCGGCCGGTGCCCAGTCGTACGTCGTGGTGTTGAAGGTCGGGTCTTTGCGCGACACCACCGGATTGGTCACGATCATACGGTTCCTCTTGTACACGCGGAGGCCGCCGCCTCCTTTGACCTTCGCTGTCAAATGGGAGCAGGGTGAGTCCGCGAGCAGGCGTCCCATTCGCTGGTCGTCTTCGACGTCACTTCTTGGAGCGTGGTTGACCGCGCTGCAGCCGCAGGAGATACAGGCTTTCCTGTACAAGTAGGTGAAGAAAAAATATATCACATGACCAGCTTTTAGAGCATGCTGAAGAATTAAAGGACGTATTGCCAAATTGGGTGTTTTTTTCTGCCAAAGTGGGGTACTTTAAAAATTGTTTAGGGAAGTTTGTGACAATTTGTGATACTTTTTGTACCATCTTGGTGATTTGTATCAAAACATGAAGCTACATTCCAATGAATCTATGATGAGGTTGACAGGGATCATCATGCAAAGACTGGTAACTGATGTCCCATAAATCAAAATTACATTTGTATTAATGACTAGATTTAATTATTTTTCCTTTGTCATGCGTTCATAGCTCTGTGATAAAATACTTATGAAAGCTGTTACATCTACAGACCTTTAATGTTTAATGCAACTTTATCCAAAAGAAAAATAGATTGTTACTATTGTAACAATGGTTTTGCAACTCATTCTCACTCCGAACTCGTCAAATGTTGCCGCTTGGTCGGTGGCCCTTGCCATTGCAGATCGATGCACCGAGTTACCCTCTAGTATTGGTTTTCAACGTGTTGGATGCATAGCGTCCTTTCAAAATAAACTTCCGTCTTCTCAGGAAGTTATGTTCAGGCAACACAACCACATGTTTAGGTTTGGGAAACCATCGTGGTTGATGTTAACACTTCACTGACGACTCAGGTGAACACCGAGGGACAAACGACTCAGATGACTAGCAAATCAAGTGGCTCTCGGGACTAACGATACTAACGAGTCACGTGTCAATTCAACACTACTCCCGCCTGCCCTTAGCAGACTCAGATGCCCTTTACACTACGTCACATGCTCTTACCATTTACGAATGCCGCGGTTAGTTAGTTGAAAGCCCGGTGCGTCGCATACCGTCCCTGAAGGGGGCCTCCGTGCGACGATCTCGGATACCGAGGACCACTCACGAAGCGGCGATATTTGACGACCTGGGAGTGTTTTAAGTTTGCCTTATCTGTAATTTATCTGTACTAATGAAACCCCTTCCATCCATTATGTCTGTAATGTAGATGATTTTTAGTGTCAACAGTGGTGACACACTGCTCAAGCTCGTGGACATCCCTCACAGGCTTCATCTGTGGAAACTGACAGGTGACCTTTTTAATGTAAAAACAACAAAATTCAAATGTCCTTCCCAAAATGTATTATTTTGTCCATGTAGTTTAGGCTTGTAAGTGCAGTGCTGTTTGACAACTGACTCTCATCTCATCTTCAGTCAATTGGCAAAAAATATGCAGAACCACTAACAAGTTCCAGAGAATCGTTGAGAGGAGAGAACTTGGGTTTTTTTCTTATTTTCATTCCTTTCATTTTTTTTTCAGGCAGTGAGAAATAATAATAAAATAAATAAAAAACAGTGAAGGTTTGTACCTCCAAGAATGCGGCTGGAATCCAGAGCAGCTCTCCTCACATACGTGACACACCGCTGCATCTCCTGCACTCGGCTTCACAGACATCTGAGAGGAGACAAAAATACAGTGAAACATAATGATGGTATCCGTTTAAATTGTTTGTTTGGGTACAATCCAATAAATAAATAACTAACAGTGAGATCATGAAAGATCAGAGGCCACAACAGCTAGAACTAGAATAGAAAACCATTTTGACCAGGTAAAAGACAGATAAAAAGGTTGAAAAATGTTGAAAAAAAAACACTATGGTAAGTCAAAATAATTAAACATTTGGTCAAAATAATGACATCACTAGTAATGTAAATTTGACAAGCTGACCATTAGCCACGAGGCCTAAAGGCTCTTAAATGACAAACACCAGTGTTTGTCGGATTTCTCTGTATCTCACAGGGAACAAATTTGGGCTTGAAATGTAAATATTTTCCTGATGAAGAACATTATTCAGTATATTTTCACAAGTAAGTAAAATAAATGATTCTCAAAGCACCCGCAAAGAGTGAACTGCCCCTTTAACTGCTGAGGAAATATTGCACATGCTATTTACATGTATATAAATCAGGTAATATAGAGACGTTTAGAGCAGAAGTTGCTCTTTCTCTGCAAATGAGCCTCATTACAAAAGCTGTCCATATAACAAAGATCAGCGCGAATAGCCACACACAGTAATAACAGTGAAGTTATCAGCGAGTTAAACTGGAGCACATTTATTGGGGGTGTCAAACCCAGACTTTCCAGTAATCGTGGCATATTAAATCCCAAATATAGTTTCTCTCCGTTACGTCTAAATTCTTCTCCTGAAGTCTTGAGGAATGCCTCTGCACCTCGTTGGTCAGGACCTTTATCTTGCAGTCCAAAAGTTTTCTTTTTCTCTCTCCTCAATGTTCTGCCAACTATGTTCTTGACACAAAGGCAACATTTATTCTTTGCCACATGGATGATTACAAACAGATGCAAAAAGAAAAGGGCAAATTACACTGGGTTGCAAAACTTTATGGACGTGTTTGAGCTGTAAAATCATTAGCGTAATTACCATTAGCTTTCTCTGTATAGCTTTCAACCAACTTCCTCTGCTGGAGAGGCCTGTAACATGTGGGTGAAAGCTCTGTAAAAAATGCTTCTATGTGGACCTTCAGTTGACCACAAACAGTAAGTATTTGTAGGACACAGAGTTAATGGCGAAGAAGTGACGACGATTCTGTAGATTTGAGAGGAAGTGTTGGATGAGAAAGAAGAGTTGTTGTTTTTGGACATTTCTCAGTGAGTGTGGGAGGAAGAGAAGGGAGTGAACCACACGCACACAGACACACACACACGTGCAGGACGGATGATGTCATCGGTCCACCCAGTGACATCATCTCAGTTCCGACAAACTATGTCTTATCAGTCATTCCTGTATTTTCACCTCCTGCTCCTATGTTTAAATCTTTTTTCTGTGACACTATGTTTTATTATTGGCTCCTTTTCTTTGTTTCTCTTCCTGTCCTCACTGTGACTCATGCTTCCTTTTCTTTATAACTTTCATATTAAAAAAGAAAAGAACTTTCCCACAATCCTCTTCCATACTGTGTACAAATATTAATAATATCTTGTGATCAGTGTGTCATTAGTTGCAAACGTTATAAAAAAAAGTCCACTTACAAAAATATCTTTCAACCACAGCAAGTCGAGGTTGCTTTATTGTCAAAGGACAACCAGTCACATGATGACAACTGAGCAAACTCTATCCACTGATGAAGACCGTGAGATGGCTGAAAGCTGCAGGGGGTTAAGAGGTTATCTTTTTTTATCAAAAATTATTCCAAGATCAAGAATGTTAGAGTTTAACTTCGGCAATCAATTTGCTTTGATAATCTGTTTTGGTTTTTGGTCTCTGACCAAGAGTCTGTGTCTCTCTGTGTGTGTGTGTGTGTGTGTGTGTGTGTGTGTGTGTGTGTGTGTGTGTGTGTGTGTGTG